TTTGAAATGAATGTCGTGCTCCCCCAACTCTACTGCCCACTTGGAAATCCTTCCGGAGAGTTCCGCTTTTCTCAAGATTGCTTTCAAGGGCTGATCGGTAAGGACAGTGATTGGGTGCGCCTGGAAAATAATGTCGCAGTTTCCTTGCAGTGGTGACCAGGGATAGAGCCAGTTTCTCTAGGGGTAGATATCTTGTCTCTGCGTCCAGGAGCGCCTTGCTTATATAGTAAATCGGCTTCTGGCGGTGCTCATGCTCACGGATAAGTACCTCGCTTACCGCAAACTCAGATACTGCCAGGTACAAGAACATCATCTCCCCCTGGATGGGGACGGACAAGGTTGGAAGAGTCCTTAGGTATTCCTTGATTTCAGCCAGGGCGTCCTCGCACCCCTGGCTCCACATATTCTTCCCAGCACTCTTGATTGCTCCGAAAAAGGGTTTGCATTTGTCCGAGGAGCGTGAGACGAAACGGTTAAGTGCAGCCAGCATCCCTGTGAGTTTCTGGACTTCTCGGACAGTGCGGGGGCTCCGAATGTCCAGGATCGCTTGAATCTGATCCGGGTTGGCTTCGATTCCTCGTTGACTAACCAGGTATCCGAGGAATTTACCTGATTCTACTCCGAAAACGCACTTCACCGCATTCAGCTTCAGCCCATACTCCCTGAGGGTGGAGAAGGTATCCGTCAAATCTGTCAGATGATCATAACTCCGTTTGCTCTTTACCAGCATATCGTCTATGTAGACCTCCATGGTGTTGTCGATCTGTTTTTTGAACATCCGATTCATCAGTCTTTGGTATGTTGCCCCGGCGTTTTTTAGTCCAAACGGCATCACTTTGTAACAGTAAACTCCCTTCGGAGTGATAAACGACGTCTTTTCCTGATCCGGGGATAGAGAGGGATCTGATGATATCCTGCTCGGGCATCCAGGAAGTTCATTCGTTCATATCCGGCAGTGGCATCTACCAGCTGGTCTACTTTTGGCAGGGGTAGTCGTCCTTGGGACATGCCTTGTTTAGATCTGTAAAGTCTACGCAGACACGCCATTTCCCCCTTTCTTCTTTGCGCACACCGTATTAGACAGCCATTCCGGGAACTGTATCTCTCGAATGGCGTCGGCCTTCAGGAGTTTGTTGATTTCCTCGTTGACTGCGCTGGTGTGATGCGGGGCCATGCGTCGTGGCCTTTGTTTGACTGGCTTGTGCGACGGGTCAACATGCAGCCTGTGTGTGATTATCTCGGGGTCTACCCCCGTCATTTCCATTTCTTTCCATGCAAACACGTCTGTATTTTCCCTTAGGAACTCGATCATCTCCTCCTGTTCGGCTGTGGGCATCGAGGTCCCAACTAAGAAATATCTTTCTTCTTCTCCCTCTACCAAGGGCACCTTCCGGAGGTCTTCTACCGACCGCTCAGTTGGGTCTATCCGGGGGTCATCCATTCCTGGACGCCCAGACTGTAATTGCTATTTTTCCATAATCTCTTCCGGTGCTCGCCCCTTCTCCTGGCTGAACGCCCCGGCTCGAACGGCTGAATAAAAACAATTTTTCGCGGACGCTTGGTCCCCCCGGATCTCCATGATACCTTCTGGCGTGGCAAATTTTAATTTCTGGTGGAAAGTGGAGTGCACCGCTCCCAACGCATGCAGCCATGTTCGCCCCATAATCACGTTGTAGGGAGAGTCCGTATCGATCACACAAACTCGGTGTCGATGATAAAGGGACCTGTGACAACTGGCAATGTGATTTTCCCCACGGGCAGGGCGAATGAGCCGTTGAACCCGATGAGGGGTGTCCTGACTTTGGTGAGGTCTTTGGGGCCAAGACCCATCCGTTTCAAAGTTTCGAAGTACATCACCTCCGAGAACTTCCAGAGTCTATCAAAATCCTTTTGACATCGAATTGCCCTATCCTCAGGGTCAAGACAAGGGCGTCGTTATGGAGAGTCACTACGCCTGTCAAATCCGCGTCGGAGAATGTAATGTCAAGCTCACCCGTCCTGGCCCTTTTACTTGGTGGCCCTACATCAACCTCGGCTACCTTCCTTGTAAAAGCTACCCTTTTGAGGTCGGACTCGAGTTCCTTGGACGTGGGGCGATCCAGGGGACATATATGGATGACATCTATGATGTTGTCCGGCTCCTCGGTCGGGGCAAGGGCTTGTCTCTCTTCTGGCCTGGGCTCTATGTACTCTTTCAAATATCCGTCTCGGACCAATCTTTCCAAGAACGATTTGAACACCCTGCAGCTTTCGGTGCGATGCCCGAAATCCCGGTGATAGGAACACCTAACCTTTTGATCACGGGTGGAGGGGTCGCTCTGCATCCTGGGCGGCCATTTGAAGAACGGCTCGTGCTTGATTTTATGGAGCAGCTTGAAGATGGGTTCCTTGAACACAGTGTGAATTCCTTTGGACGGACCCCCTGGAGGGGGTAGCAATCCCTTTCGGGGAATATCTTCCCGCTCCTTCTCTTTTCTCTTAGATTGGAGGGCTCGGCCTTTGCTGCTTCCCATCTCGTCCTCAACCCTCGAGTATTTGTTTATCCGGGCCATTAGTTCCCCCATATCCGAGGGGGTCTTCTTGGTCAGGGATCGGTACAGGTCTGTGTCCCTTGCCAAGCCGAGCCGGAAAGATGCTGCTGTCATGACCTCCGAGCAGCCTTCTACCTCATTAACCTCTTCCCAGTATCGGATGGCGTACTGGCGAAGAGTCTCGAATTCCCTCCGTCTGAGGGTCAGCAATGATCCAATGTCTTTGGGGCGCTTACTCCCCGTAATGAATCGAGCCAGGAACTGCTTAGTCAATTCCTTCCAGGACCCAATACTGTTGGGGGGAAGCGCCTCGAACCACTTCATCGCAGAGTCCCCCAAGCTCATAGGAAACACTCGGCAGAGAAACCGTTGGTCCGAATGATAGAGGGACATCATCTGCTTGTATTGCCTGACATGGGCTTCGGGATCGGACCGCCCGTCATAAGTTTTGAACCGCGGCACGACAAACTTTCTTGAAACCTCCATCTCACTGATCTCCCTCGTAAAGGGTGTTTGTATGACTTCGTCCTCGGCCTCATCCTGGACAGCCTTACCCTTTCTCCTGGAGTCTAACCGGGCTCTGAGGTCAATTTCTTCCTTGACGGGATGCCTTCTGAAGTCCTTGAGTTCATCGGTAAGCCCCTCATTTCCTGGGCGTCGTGTGGATTGGGTTGAGTCCTCCTCGGATTCATCTCCCTTCCTCCGTCTAGACAAACCTCGCCGGAGGTCGTCCAGGGCCAATGGCCTTGCTTTCCTTGAATGGTTGTCATGATGATGCTCGCCGGCTCTGGGTCGCTTTGGGGCCCTAGAGCTTTCTGCTTTGTTGTTTAGGTGGTTTCTTAGATCCTTCGTTTTCGCCTCCCGGGCGGGAAGCCCACGAGAAAGGAATGAATCCCTCGATCCTTCGCCAGAGGCGGCAAACTCGTTGAGCCGGCTTAGGACGTTTACATTGTCCTTTTCCAGCTGACGTAATCTATCGCCAAACTTTTCTTCAATCACCTCCGCCAGCTGACGAGCCAAGGGGGCTGATCCCCCTGACCTGATTCCCATACTGGTTTGAGGGGTAACCCTTCTTGACCGAGTAGAGGCACTTTTATTCGTATTGGTGTGATCCCTTCCTCCGTGATGACAGGGAGCTTGTAACTCGAGACTCCTTTGGTGGGGTCCTTTCCCTTTCTGTCGAGTGTTCACCATGGTCACTGTTCTTTATAGAGAAAAAAACTAGGAAAACTAGTCGTTTCCCACAGACGGCGCCAGATTGTGCGTGCAAGATCCTGCACAATATAAAAAACGAGAACAGATCTCTCCCTTGGTGAACTCGAGTGAGCCAGTTGAGTGACCAACCACGCTGCTTGGAACAGCCTGCGAGGTCCGGTGGTAACCTGGAACGGCAACGGGAGACCCTGGGGGAGCGGAAGAACGATCCAGTAAGGCTGAAGAGGTTCCTGGAACAAAGAAGAACAAGTTAGAAGGGCGCCGGAGTGTTTTTCGGCGTATCCCCTCCGACGATCTAGTCAGTCTTTGAGAGAGAGAGCAGGAAGGAGAAAACACTGAGTGAGTATTGTAGTAAAGAGTTTTTTGTTGCATACCCGTCTTGCCTTTTGTAAAGAGTATTTATACCTCAAAAGCTCATGATTGCTGTCAGTGTAGTCAGTAGGTGATCATTAGGTACAGGCAGTGTGCGCACTGATTCTGATGAGGAATGTCTTCTCTTCTTAACTGCTCGGGGTCCCGAGCAATCAATGCTGGGTCATCGGGATGCCGACGGTACAATGTACTCCTCTCGGGGAGGATGCAATAAATGCTCTGTATTAGGAGCATTTATTATCTTTCATTTTCGATCCTTACCGCATTGAATGCGGTCTCATCAAGGGAATGATGTAATTAATAGTTTGCTTTCCCAAGTCGCGTGTCAGCAACGGCATGCGGTTTCTCTGTCTTCGATGTGATATCATATGCCACGCGTCCATCCCTCATTGGCTGTGGCTTCTGCATTCCAGTACGTTCTGACACTAATTGTGTAAGACGAGGTCATGATGAATAGCCTAGGCTAATGACCTGTATGTCAATAGCTTATCCTGGAGTAGAGGAGGCGTCTAGGACGGGTACACCTCGGCACCGAGGAGAGGCTCATCTCGGAACCGAGGGAGGGATACCGACCGAGGTACCATATCAGACCGAGGCCACGTGTCGGTTGTAGAACATACTGAATGCATGATCCTATATGACGAGTACCTCAGGGGCGAGGACCTTTATGCGCCGATGGTGCTTGATCTTATCAACAGTATTTTTTGGTAATACCGAGGACACGTGTCTTCATTATAGAGCATTTCAGAAAAGTCTCATCAAGTATGAAACTCTTTGTAGGTAGTGCCATGTGAATTCACTGAATCAGATGAACACTGAGCAATCAGTTGAGGACTCTGCTGCTTCTTTATTTACAATCTCATATTTTACAGTTAATGAGACCATAAACAACAATGATCCCCATAATAAGAGACTGATCAACGTATGGCTCCACGACCATTGTTAAAACATCTTCCCCTAAAGCAACTCCACATGCTGATATTTTTCTCTTTACCTGCTTCAGAAATTAGAAAACTGTTAGCTGTAAATTGAGAACCGCAAAACTATTAGCCCCACGCGAGGTTTGTAAATAAGTGATTATCTGGTAATGAGCAAGGAATATACATTTTTCTGCTAAACAGGATGTGTTGTACTAATGATTCAAATATGAAGGGATCTGCTGAAAAGAGGACAAGTTCTAGGCTAACTTACCTCGGCAACAAGCTCACCCAAGGGTTCAACTATCTTGCATGATGATTTCCTGGTCCAAATTTCCATCCTATACTGCTGTCTTTGATTTTTATCCAACCCCACATCAACCTCACACACTGAGTCCCCTCTAAGAATTCCAAAGGTCCTTCTTACTTGAAACACAGGCATTTCCTTGTTAAGATCTGTACCACATCTGTATCCCTTCCAACTCCCCCAAAATTTAAATCTCTGCATCATGAAACGTTTGAATAATTAAACAAAATTGAGTCAGCTTTTGACAGTGTTTCATAATTTCTTTCCTTACCTCTTTAACTATCGTGAACAGTACTTTGCCCACCCTGTCCATGAGATGAACTTCATCACTACATTTGTGATTGTAGTTATCCACGCGATACACAATTTGGCCGTTTGAATCAAATACAGTGCAACCATTACTGCCAAAAATTAAAGATTTCATCCATATAGTGAAAACTTCTTGCTTAAAGGAAGTTGAAGAGGCAACAAGTACTTGGGGATGAACCTTTGCCATGTCGAAGAAGTGATGTACTTGCAAGTGTTTAGAGAAAATGGAAAAAAGAGGAGAGAAAAAACTTTCTATATTTGCATAGCTTGCCTGTATCTGAGCTAACACATTGTAGTAATCCTTTATACTTTAATGCATCAGATTTACTCCAAACAAATAGCATGAAAAATCAAGCATACTTAAATAATCCAGATGAGGTTTTTTTTGTTATTTTTATTTGGAAATAATGTTCTTGAATTATTCTTAGAGAGTAGACAAAACACCCAACATATAACTACAGCTATCATCAGCCATTTTAGATCAAAAGTCTCTTCAAATCACATTATTTATTTGGACCTTATCACTTTAGTGACTCCACAACCTATGTCATGAGAAGCTTTCACTGTTTCTTGGTGGAGATCAAGTCAGATATCCAATTCAATGGCCCGCTTACGCCATTTGGGTTGTTAATCAGCAATAGCAATGCAGATATATGGCAACTACCATACATTTTATAAAATGGTCAAGTTGAGAGCCACTTTAGTAGATATGTCCCAGCAGCGTTTCTCTTTCCTTAAAATATGGACACTATTCAGTTTGTTAATGTGAATTATTTTGGTGATAAGCTAGGAAACTGAATTTTTTAGCAAATTAACATGACAAGAACATAAGTATCTTCCAGAATTTTCAACAGACTTGTATAGGGCACTGGTTGTTAAAATGAATGATAGGCAGGTAAATCATGTTTGAAACATGTTGCTTCCTTGTTTAACATAATGGTCTTGCAGACTCATTTTTCGGTGTCTTGGTCGTCGAGCAAGTAATTTTTATACATCGGTTCAAAAATGCCTACTCCTTCAACTCGTTCTAAAAAAATAGGATTCTTTTGGGGAAAAAAAGTATGCAGATTCATGCCAGAGTAGTCTACAACGTAGCTGCATGGCTGATCACTGGTTAAACCAGTTCTTACTTACATATAGAACTATGTTGCAGGATGTAGTTGGGCATTGATGATACACTCATTCTAAGTTAACGTGCCTTATATATATAACAAAATGATTAGATTCTGAGGAAAGCAACTTGTCATTTGCTTGAAGACAATTGTTTGTGCAAGACTCTACGTTCTCATCATTTCTTAATATGGTTTGGATTGCACCTTCTGGGAGTTCTTGCAGATTTGTTATCAATACAAGTTGTTGTGTACGTGAACAAGCATATGGGTTTGAATTACGAAACAAACTATGTATTTTTGACTTTCTCTAGTCTCTAGATTAACGTCGAGACTATTGCACACTAGACATTTCACTAGTGATTGAAACTAGTTTAACTAAAGGCCCCTAATCAAATATTTGTTATTTTGCTTGTAGTTAATCATTTCTTATAATCACTCTTAACTCCTTTCTCATAGGTTTTGATAAGTATCATACACAGGGAGGAAGTTAGGTGGCCGACTCACCTTGATTACTTTGTTTAGTTGTTTGCTTGAATGTTTACTTTGTTGGGGTCAGTTGGCTCTTCTAGTATGGCATTGGGCTGTGTATGGCTCTATTTGACTATCATTGCTAATTAAACAATAATGTTGGATTAAGTCAAAAAATTAAGTTCAAATATTGTTATTTTGATTTTTTATACTCTTTTTATTTGTTGAGCTAGTCATAACCTGTGTCAGAAGACAACATAAAATCCGAGGGTCTAAAAATTGGTCTCACTATATAAAATAACAATTTTTTTCTTTCCTTTCTTTAATTACATAATTTGAAATTAATTTCTATTCATTATTTTTTTAATAATAAAATTGATTTTTTTTTTTCAAAATAAATGGCCTGAAAAATACTAACATGTGTAGAATATCATATATGAACAATATCTGAAATAAAAATTGTGTTGAGCTATGACGAGTCCAGATTTAGACCAAGCTTAGGCTCAGTTTATGGGTTTAGCTCAAATCATCAAAAAGCATGCCAGGCTTACTTCATGGCCTTAGTCTAATACAAAACTCAAGAGTCTAGGAAGAACCAACGCACGTAAGAGAGCACTCATCCTGATAGTCATGACTTTAAGATAGTGTTTATCCCCAATTATAACAATCTTTCTCGATAAACTAATTCCCTGACCTTCACGACACTACTTCAACTAGAGTTCTGTACTTATAAATTATAAACCCCTTACACATGGGAGCAGATCTCACACACCTCACCTTGAACATACTATTGTTCTCTTTCTCTCTCTCTCTCTGTTACTATCTTGTACTATCTCCTTAATAGAGTTCTCTAGTCACTATTGCAGCCTTTAGTGGTTAGGTCACCCAGAACCAACCACTTAATCTTTGTCTCTTATTATTAACTATTTCATTAATTATCTTTCATCATACACTCGACTGATTTGATTGTGCATAATCTATTTTGTGCATCATCAAGCTACAAATTAGTCAAAAATAAAATGATTTCACCTGTGGTAAAATTGGGGAGATGTGATAGAAATGGGTAGAAAAAATATAATATGTGTCGACTTGTCTAAATAGAACTCATTTATGAATAACTAGTCATAACTTGTAGTTGAAGGCACAATACAACATAAAAATAAGAGATGTGACAAAAATGGCCAAAAAAATATAAGATGTGTCAACCTTTCTAAATAGTGTTCAGAATGAATAACTAGTCATAACTTGTGCAAGTATGATACTACATAAAATCTGAGCGTCTAAAAAAATTAATATTACTATATCAAATAATAAAATTTTTTTAAATTACATAATTTAAAATTATTTTTATCTATTATTTTTAAAATGAGTGAAAAAATATATAAAGATAATATATATATATATATATATATAATTGATCAGAGACAAATTACAACATTTCTACTTAAAAATAGTAATGTCATAACCGTCATATCATCCGCACGCACCCAAAGACTATCTGATGTAGGATAGCCTTAGCCTATCACCACCCAGGCCCAAAGGCCTTCTCGTTCATAGACGGGCCTAAGAGGAATGCAGTTGAGCCCACATTGAATCCACCCTGAGCACACATATTTTTTTGATCAAAGATAAATTAAAACATTTCTACTTAAAAGTAAAAATATCATAGTCGTCATATAACTCTCACACACACACACACACCAAGGCTATCCGACATGGGATAATATTCTGACTCCAAACTCCCCCCTCCAACAGTGATTTTGACCGGCTTACCTATGCTGGGTTTGAGCCCGCTGAGAAAAAGTAAGGGAGGCCACCACTTCAAATGGGTTACTAATCGCTTCATAGAACTAAGGCCCATCTCTTCAACCCAAAAAGTCTATTGAATCGTCGAGCCCAAACCTAATCAGGCCTACTCTGGTGCATAAGACCCCGACACTTCCTGTCGCTTCACATTCTCTTCTTGGTCGCTAACATAGACTTGTGAGTAGAAACTCCCCAAAGCAAAACCCTAGAAAAAATGGAGACCTCCACTTACCCAGCGGTTTACCCTTTAGTCATTGACGCCGCCTTCTCCTTCTGTAACTTGGGTTGCCCATAACCGTGAGATTTCTCGTTTACATGGATCAACTGAGTCTTTTCATGGGGTACTTTTCTTCTGAAAGCCTTCACCTCTCTCTCTCTCTCTCATTGATGATGATGTATATATATAGTTGCAGCTGGCCGAGCTGGTTGGCTGAAACATTGCCAAGCAGTAAGTTTTACACAGCTGCCAAATTTAAAATTGGAGGGGCGCAAAACCAGCTCTTTACTGCTAGAGTTTCAGCAGCCAAAGATTGATAGTGCTCTACATTGTCTCTCATTCCATGAATTACTCTATCAATGATTCTTATCCTATTACCTTATTTATAATTTCTTTTGCTGACAATTTTGTGATTTGGAATGGAACTGGAAGACCGTATCTGGCCAAACTTCGTTTTACTCCGATATGATGCTACTATTGGTCTGGCTTTCCAAAGCTTAATACATCCTAATCATGATCAAGTCTTCATGTTTACTGATAAATCTATGATATTGAAATATGTTTTTTGGGTACTATACCTATAAATATTAATTTTTATGGGTTAAAATTATAATTATTTGGAATATTTGAAATTGATCTCAATATTGTAGGATTCATCTTAACCTTTAGGATCCATAGGATCGATTGTAAACAAGGGCGGACCCACCTTATGTCTAGGCCCCTCAATTTTTTAAAAAAAAATTATATATATATAAAATATTTTTCGAATATTTTAATTTGTGTTCACCTTAATTTTTAGTCAAGATCGTAAAGGACATGATGTATCCATAAGTTTATTTGTAATTTTGATATTTATTTTTTGTAATGATCACAAATATGATAGAGAACACGTTAAAGAGTTAATCTTAAATTGAACCTTCAAAAAATTATTGAAATTTTAATTTACACTTTTAAAAATCAAAAATCAAAAATTTTAAATTGTACACTCAAAAGTAGAAATTTAAATCAATGTTCATAGGTATAGTGGTGTCCATAGGTTGGGTTGGTTATCTGGTCTAAAAAAAATAAGTTTAAAACTCGATAAATTCGATAGTTGGCTCGTCTAGGTCAGAGTCCAATATATTTAAAAAGAGATCTTGAGTTTGCCCTCAAATTCATTACTTGGCTCAATAGCTCGTCCGAAAAAAACTATTAAAGCTCAGCTCAAGAACCCCATCCTCCCGCTAAGCTCAACCCACCCATTATTCTTTTGAAAAAAAATTATACTTTTAAATCATTAAATTTGAAACTTGAAAATAAGTCTCTCAATGTCAGAATTTGAAATTTTAAAAATTTAGATACTATAAATAATTTTTTTTTTTATGTATTAAGCATTTTAAGTTTTAAAAGTTAGAATAATAGATAAGTAAGTAGGTGTCAATTTAGTTGAGATGTATTCATTTTATTGGTTGTAGTTCATCCCATAATCAAAAATAAATTTATTCATTATTTTATTTTTATCTATTTTGACTCTACTTTTGATTGAAAAATATAATTTATATAAATATTAAATTACAAAAATATTTATTATTTTTAAATGAAGTTGTATATATAAAAAAGTCTGCGAGCAGGCCCGCGCCAATAAGCTCATTGGTTAGGCTGCGGGTAGTTCATCTCTACTTGAAGTACGGCCCGGCCGGCTCGATAACTCACTTGAGTAAGAGCTTGGCCCTACACTATCCAGGCCCCGCTCGAAAAAAATTCGTATGCCTAGCTCGGCCCAGTCCAAAAAAATTTCACGAGCTTAGCTCGCCCCGCCCCAAAGACACCCCTAAATACGCATCTCAAATTAACAACCTTGTTTGTCGTCTAAAACTAAATAGATAAATTATACCTAGACATTTTCATGTTTATCACTTAATCATTTAGTCCCCTCACATTTAAAATATTACATCTATATTCCTTTAGAATCAAAATATAACTAAAAATGTTCCTCCAATTGGATATTCAAATAATTAAGTTTAAGTGATATATTACACTAGATATAAAGAACTTTATATAAATACCTGCATTATTTTGGGTATTCAAATGGTAAACTTGATTTTAAACTTTATAGTATAACGAGCCCATAAAATAAAAAGTAATATGAAATTACAAATTTTTTGTTAGAATGAAATCATATATTTTTTAATGGTTATATTAACAAATATCAACGATAAATGATTTTGTGTTACATGTGTACAAACGTCAAGAAGTGTAGAAGTAATATTCTAAATGTGACGAAGTCCAAATGATTAAATGACAAACATGAGAGTATCCAGGTGTAATCTATCTATTTAATTTTAGACGACAAATTGACAACTATTAGTTTTAGGTGTGCATTGATACAAATTTCTATGTTTTAGTGTACAAATTGAGATTTTTAATCTTTAATGGTGTAAATTGAAATTCGAATGATCTTTCAGAGTGCAATTTGTAATTAACCCTATAAAAAATAATAAATTTAATGCAAAACTTTCAAATTATGAAAATTCACTCGAGTCAATTTTATTTCTCGAAAGGTATAATTAGTTTTTTTTTTGTTATTTTGTATCTACTATACTTACCAATTTTAGTATTTTGAGTTTAATAAACTTTTAATTATTAAATTGGATGTAATTTAATATAAATATATTATTCAATTTTTATCAATTACAAAAAAAAAAATTAACTTATTAGAATATTCGGTGTCCATCCAAAAATAATTTTTTGGCTCTGATTGTCAACACCCTAATCCGTTGTAACTTTTATGAATTTTAATTTTTTTTTATTATAATTTGAAAGATGACAACTATACCCCCCGGGGGGTGAGGTCGGGGGGGGGGGGGGGGGGGGCTTTCAATACCTAGGTTGGACCCCATATTGACTAATGACTTGTCAAAATATATGATATCAGATCATCACTCGCCCTGAATCAGCAACCTTGAATCTTGAGTGTTATTTTCTAATAAGTACCCATCCCAAAAATAAATAAATAAATATTTATTATAACGGATATATCACGCCAATATTATTATATAATATTATTAATTAATAATATATAAATAAATAAGAAAATAGACCTCATACAAGTCAATAATTATTTGTCTATATAAGCAATAATTATCCCCTCTTTTTTTCATGTAAGTTAATAACAGAGTCATTTTTTTTATTTAGGGTTCTATTATTGGTTGATAATATATGTCATTAATGCTGACATGATATTATCTTTGTATTGAATATTCTCTCCAAAAATACCATTCAACAACTAATAAACACCTTGAAAAAAATATACTAGGAATTCCAAACAAGTAGACCAATAAAAATAGGGACGAGTTGTGAAATCAGACATTCTGAATTCAAAATTTGATAATTCTTTTGGGCGCAAGTCAAGAGAGATTTATTATTCATGAATTCTTTAATTTTGACGTGGATGATCTGTTTTTGACAAGATAAATAAAAAAAATAGTTGAGAAATACATAAATCTAGATATTCTCACCATAATTAAAAAAAAAAAAAAATGTATAATAATAAATCCATTTTTTCGTTAAAGTTTCCGCGTGTTGACTCTCTCTCTCTTTGTGTGAATGGAAAAATGGACAGAGAAGGGACATTCACTGATTCACATAACATTATCATAAGAACAAACCAAAGGGATACAAGGATAACGTAGCAGCAGTCTAGCTGATATATATGTTAATGATGATCGAGAATTGGAAAAACCACAGCTGCGCATTAATCACATACAAATCTACATGCAACTGTATCGATCTTGAAGAATCATAGAGATTACGAAATTGAAGGATTAGAAGAAAAACATTGCACAAGAGAAACGGTATGTGGGTGAATTATCCACCTACCAGTCCATTACCTTTTTATCTCCTTCACGGCTTTTTTCTGTCTTCGTGTCGCAAATCTGTTGGCCTGCTTTAATTTTTGTCTTCACTCGGAGGTCTGATTGCGATCATTGATTGTTTCCCAAGGTACACACAGCTTAGATGATGGATAGGTTCACGTCTTTTTCCCCCAATTATGACGTTTTGGTTTTTGACGACGCAAATTTGTTGATTGTTATTAATTTGTGGTTTGAATAATTGGTTTTTAGCAGAGCATTTTATATTCGGGAGCTCTTGAATTTATTGATTGGGAGTTCATGGACACCGCGTTTTGGGAATGATTTGAAGACAGTTTGGGTTTGGATTTGGATTGGATTGGATTTTCTTGAGAAAACGTGTTCGCCTGATTTTGTCCGCGGTATATATAAGGTACGGTGAATTTTTTGCTGTTCTTGGGATTTTGAATTTCTGTCTTTTCTGTCCAATTCAAATTTTGGGTTTTGAATACTGTTAGATTTTCCAACTGTATCAAATAAATCTCTAATTGGGCTTTCTGTGCATGAATTTGAGTACTCAAGGTTCATCGGTGGTGGCAATTTCGAGGAATCGTGATCGCCCTAGTTTTGCGAATTGGTTGATCCACTCTAGTTTGAGATTTTGTAAGCTTTCTTGGATTTAAATAGATAATCAAGAACTGTAGTTACTTTAATCGTCATTCGAATTGGGACTTGATTGATCGATGGCGGCCTTCTAGTGTTCGGATAGTTGTGGCATCAACAATTATACATAGGAGTGAACGGAATCCTTGGAATTTAGGGTCAATTTCTCTTGTTTTCGACCGAACTTGTTTGGATTTTCATCTTCTTGGAAGCTTAGGATTTAATTGGGTTTATCACTCTCTCTTTCTTGGATCAGACCACCTTCATCACCTCAGTTGTATCTGTGAATTGGTTATGACAGTAGCCAAATGAGCATTTCAAAATGAGAGACACGAGAGGGATTGTTTGTAGATGGAGGTGCCGGACCAGCCATTTTCTGATCTAATAGGCATTCTGAAATCATGGGTCCCTTGGCAGTCTGAGCCTGCTAATGTGTCGAGGGACTTCTGGATGCCCGATCAGAGCTGTAGGGTATGCTACGAATGTGATTCCCAGTTCACATTGCTTAACCGTAGACACCATTGTCGACTTTGTGGCCGTGTTTTTTGTGCCAAGTGTACTTCACATTGGGTTCCTGCTCCATCTGGTGAGCCGAGGACTCCGCGGGAAGAAGGGGACAAAATTAGGGTCTGCAATTACTGTTTTAAGCAATGGAAGCAGGGCTTAGCTGCTACTGTTGACAATGGGATCCATGTTGCCAGCATGGATCTCAGTACTTCGCCATCAGCGACAAGTTTCATCAGCACCAAGTCTGACAGTGGCACTGCTGACAGTAGCTGCATTACTCTTTCATCAATGCCACTCTCTTCTGGGCTTAGCCCAAAATCTGTAGTAATGGAAACAAATGCAGACAGGCAAGGTATTGTAGCATCAGAGAAGAGCAATCATCATGCTGCACATATGGGGGACCAGTCTTCAAAAGAATATGGCTTTGACAACAGGTTTAATTCACATCTCTGCTTCTTAGTTTTTTCTTCTTGAGTTCATGATATAATTTATGCAGATTTTTAACTTGTAAGGGGGTGGTATTAACTGACATTTCTAAGGAGAAAATTTATGACATCTTACTATAATCTATACTAATGGTGGATTGCCCCATCATATTGGGCCACTGCATGTCACTTGTAATGACATGTGGAACTCAAGGTGAAGTCATCACATTAGCTATCTTTGCCCCCCAGGCTATACTTGGTGAATGTTTAAAATTGAGCTCAAGGTGAAGTCCCTGATGCTTGTTTCCTGCTTAGGGAATTAGGGAGCCATCCAAGCTCTTTGCTTGTCAATGCATGGTTCTATGGATACTCCTGTTGCATTGATTTGAGGTCTTTGGTTTGGTCGTCAGAATAGTGGCTCTGTAGAGTTGCAATCTACCTCAAATAAAAGGCAGTTACTGGAGCCTCAGTTTATGAGGTGGAGACTCGGGGACTATTTTTTGTGGTGACAATTGTCATATTGTCTGCTAAATCAATGTCTAGACTGTTTAATGTGAATTCTCACGTGTGCGACAAAAGTAAGCTAATCACAGATTTGAAGCTTTTCTTTCCTTATGTGTTTTAACTCTATTTGACCATAATCTCATCTCATACTTGGAACTTGAATTTATGTTTCTCACACTTCCTCTCTGATTGTGCTATTTCTCCTCCTGTCAGTTGTTTTGCTTTCCTCATTGTGCTCTCTGTCTCATCTTCTACAATAATTGCTAACAGTCTATGCCTGTATTGATGTATCTGTTGCAGATTTATTTACTATTTTATCTCGTAATGTAGATGTGAAGTTTACAGGTGAGACTAAGG